GTAGGGAAGGAAGCAGACCTGATTGTCAATTTCCTCAGGCCAATGTGACTGGTTTCCTGAGTTTGAATCAGTAATCGCCAGACATGTTCATGAGGGACCTCCATCTGCAGACTTTTGGTTTCAGAACGTTGTTTGAACATGCAACTGTGGAAGCAGGTCCTGGCCCAGTAAGGGGACCAGTCAGTTATTTTCTTTTCCCCAATGAAGCAGTCCAGGGGTTTCAGGAAGAACTGGTCCTCAGGCTTCCCTGAGATCTCAGTCACCATCACTATTCTCATTATTATTTTGACCTGAGGACCTCTAGTGGTCTTTTAGGAGGACAGTTATGGCCTAAGATTTGTAGTGCTCTCAACTGTTAAATATCTCGAAGGTGATGTCACCAGTTGAGATGGATTCATGCCAGTTGCCCTGTTCCAGAAATCTTGGCTGGCTTCTCTGAATCTACCTCTTCTTTAGAGTCTGGTCAGAGAGGTGGGTGCGGTGGCTGGCTGCCCCCACTCGGAAGAGGAGGGACCATCAAATGTGGCAGTCAGTGGTGCACCATCTCATCCACTGAGGGGAGCTCACCATCAGCCACTCCCTGACTCTGATCCGGTAGCTCAAGGAGTCAGCGTGGTCAGTTTCTTGGTCAGGGAAACAAATGTTACTGCAGTTTTAGATTCGTGGTAGAAGAAACCGAGGCCACTTGGAGAGGTGAAGCAGAGTTTCAGATTTTATTAAGCTGCTGACTCAGAGGAGCTAATTTCTCTACATTCCCTGTTTATTCATTTTTAATACTGAATAGCAATTCTATTTGCCAAAACTCCTTATCCAATTTAATTAAGGTAGGAAGAATTTCATTAAACTATTTGATCCTATTTTATTTAGCTATCTCTTAACTGGCCCAACTACTAGTCACTGTGATGTCCACGACAAAAGTGTTGATTGGAGTAATCCTCTCCCAGTGTGTTCAAGTAAGTAAAGATGATTTATTCTTTCTGATTTGAACCTAAGTCATGCTATGTGCTAAAACTCCTGTCTCTCTTTGCTGCCTTGTGTCATCTCACATAAAATTTGAATCATGCCATGTAATTTTGCCTTTTCTGATTAGTTCCCTTTCTTTCCTCTTTTCAGTTATACACTGTAAGTCTCCTCCAGCCATCAACAATGGGAGGCACAATGGCAGAGAAGATTCATACATATATGGCTCTTCTGTCACCTACAGCTGTGACCCCAACTTCTCACTTGTAGGCAAAGCTTCCATTTCCTGCATGGTGGAAAATAAAACAGTAGGTGTCTGGAGCCCAAACCCTCCTACTTGTAAAAGTAAGTCATAGAAAAGAATTCTGGTTTGAACTATTTGTTCTCTCTTGTTTAAAAGAAAATGAAAAAAAAAGAAGGTGAATATATTGGGAAAATGAAGCAATTCAAAGACAAAATAATTATTGTGATGGTGTAGTCATTAATTTAGTCCGCTGAGACTTACTGTGTGCTGTGTCAGTATTTGAGTATTGTAGCCAACAACTCCCATAGCTCACTGACTTTGTGAAGTACAAGTTTATTTTTCATTTTCCCAAAGTCTGCTGCATTTCTGGGAGGTTCTCCAGGACAGCTCTCGTCTATTTGTCAGCAACTCAGGCTGTGCCTCTGTCTCAAAATGTGCTTTTCAAAGGTACAGCACCCAAAGCATGAACAACAAAACACATGGACAACAAAAACCACCCAAAACCATAGCTAAATTAAGTGCCATCAGAATTAAAAATGTTTGCGCATCAAAAGTCTTTATCAACAAAGTGAAGACATAGTGCACAGACTGGAAGAGAATCTTGGGAAATCATAGATCTGATAAGGATTTAATATCTGGAATATATAGAGAACTACTGCTAAAGCAAGGAGCTCTGGAAGCGTAGTGGTTACGAGTCGGGCTACTAACCTCAAGGTCAGCAGTTCGAAACTACCAGCTGTTCCATGGGCAAAAGATGAGACGTTCTGCTCTTGTAAAGATTTATAGCCTCAGAAACCCTGTGCAGGGTCACTATGAGTCAGAGCCAACTCCACGGTACTTAACAACAACAACAACAACTGCTAAAGCAAATGGAAGAAATAAGGAGTTACAAGAGCTGAACAGAAAATTTCAAAGGTCAGCTCGAGAAGATAAAGTCAAATATTACAACAAAATATGCAAAGATCTGGAGTCAGAAAACCAAAAAGGAAGAACACATTTCTCAAGCTGGGGGAACTGAAAAAAAAATTCAACCCTCCACTTTCGTAATTGAAGGATTCTCTAGGTGAATTATTGAATGATGCAGAAAGCATCAAAATATGATGGAAGAAATACACAGAGTCACTGTACCAAAGGAAATGGTTGATATTCAACCGCTTCAAGAGGTAGCATATGATCAAAATGCATTGAAGGAATTGGCAGAGAACAAGGCACCAGGAATTGATGGAATCAAAATTGAAATCTTTCAAGAAAATGAGGCCGCACAGGAGGCACACACTCTTCTATGTCAAGAAATTTGGAAGACAACTATCTGGCTGACTGATTAAAAGAGATACGTATTTGTACCCATTTCAAAGAGAGGTGACCCAACAGAATGCAGAAATCATCAATCTCTTTGATATCCCATGTGAGTAAAGTTTTACTTAAGGTAATACAGAAATGGCTGCAAGCATACGTTGACAGAGAACCTCCAGAAGTTCAAGCCGGATTCAGGAGTGGCTGTGGAATGAGGGATATCAATCATTGCTGATGTCTAGTGGATCTTGGCTTAAAGCAAGGAATATCAGAAGGATGTTTACCTGTGCTTTATTGACCACACAAAGGCTTTTGATTGTGTGGCTCATGACAAGCTATGGACAACATTGCAAAGTATGAGTATTCCAGAACACTTAATTGCACTCATGAGGAATCTGTACATGGACCAAGAGGCAGTTGTTCGAACAGAACATGGGAACACTGAATGTTTTCAGATTAAGAAAGGTGTGCGACAGGGTTGTATTCTTTCACCATATTTATTCAACCTATATGCTGAGCAAATAATCAGAGAAGCTGGGTTATATAAAGAAAAATGTGGCATCAGGATTGGAGGAAGACTCATTAACAACCTGTGATATGCAGATGATGCAACCTTGCTTGCTGAAAGTGAGAGGACTTGAAATATTTACTAATGAAGATCAAAGAGCACAGCCTTGGTATGGATTGCATCTCAATGTAAAGAAAACAAAAACTCTCACCCTGGACCAATAAACAACATTCTTATCAAAGGAGAAAAGATTGAAGTTGTCAAGGACATCATTGTTCTTGCATCAACTATCAACACTTGTGGAAGCAGCATTCATGAAATCAAACAATGTATTGCATTAGGCAAATCTGCTGCTCAAGACCTTTTTAAAGGGCAAAGATGTCAGCTTGAGGACTAAGTTATGCCTAACCCAAGCCATGGTATTTTCAATAACCTCATATGCATGTGAAAGCTGGACAGTGAATAAGAAAGACAGTAGAAGAATTGATGCATTTGAGTTATGGTGTTGGAGGAGAATATTGAAAGTACCATGGACTGCCAAAAGAACAAACAGATCTGTGTTGGAAGAAGTGTAGCCAGAGTGCTCCTTGGAGGCCAGGATGGCCAAATTTTGTCTCTCATACTTTGGACATATTTTCAGGAGGGCCCAGTCACTGGAGAAGGATATGATGTTTAGTAAGGTGGAGGGTCAGAGAAAAAGAGGAAGACACTCAGCGAGATGGATTGGCAAAGTGTCAGCATCAATGGGCTCAAGCGTGGCAACAATTGTGATGTTTGCCCAGGATCAGGCTGTATTTGTTCTGTTGTGCATAGGGTCAGTATGCATTGGTACTAACTCGATGGCACCTAACAACAACTTCAGTTTAATAGCAAAAGGACAAACAATCCAATTAAAAAAAAAATTGGATAAAGGAATTGAATAGACATTTCACCAAAGAGGATATACAAATGGCCAGAAAGCCCATTATATGCAGCATCATAAAGATGCTCCACATCATTCGTCATAGTAGTACATCACTGTCAAGTTTATTTCTACTCGTGGCGACCCCATGTGTGTCAAAGTAAAACTGTGCTCCCAAGGGTTTTCAATGGTTGATTTTTCAGCAGACATCAGCTCTTTCTTTGATGTGCCTCCAGTTGGATCAAAGATCCGTCTTTTCAGTTAGTAGCTGAGTGCTTTAACCATTTGCACCACTCAGGGACCCCCATTGTAGTTGTTGGCTGTCATTGAGTGGATTCTGATTCATGACAGACCCATGTGTGCAGAGTAAAACTACTCCATAGGGTTTTCAGGGCTGTGACATTTCAGAAGCAGATTTCTAGACCTTGTTTTCAAGGAACCTCAGGGCAAGTTTGAGCTGCCAACATTCAGTTAATTACCTCGGGACTCCACTGTTAGTCACTAAACCTGCTGCCATTGAGTTGATTCTGACATACAGAGTTGATTCTGACATACAGAAAGTTGATTCTGACATAACCCTGTTTAGGGTTTTTGAGGGGGTAAATCTTTTTGGAAGCAGAAAGTCTTATCTTTCTCCCATGGAGTGGCTGATGGGTTTGAAGGAGATGCTTATCAAAACTACAGTGAGATACTACTTCACTCATACCACAACAGTTACGATAAATAACAATAACAACAGAAATTAATAGGTGTTGGCAAGAATGTAAAGTAATTGGGACATTCATCCATTGCTGATGGGTTTGCTGCTGTGGAAAAAATAGCTAGCAGTTCCTAAAAATATTAACTACAGAACTACCAATCCCACTGCTAGGTACATATTCAAAAGAAATAAAAACAGAAATGTAAACAGAAACTTGTACACCAATGCTCATTGCAGTACTTTTCCTAAGAGCCCAAAGGTGTAGACAATCTAAATGTCCATCAGCTGATGAATAGATAAATAAAATGTGTACATGTAAATGTGTACATTCTATTACATACATGTAATGGAATATTACTAAGCCATAAAGAGGAATGATGTCCTAATTTGTTCATACTGCAACATGGATGAATCCTAGAAGCTTTATATTGAGTAAACTCAATTAATCTCCAAAGGACAAATATTGTATTTCTTACATGAAATACACAAGTGCATGGAGATTGACATTTATTAGTGGTTACCAGGGATGAGAGAGGAAGGAACCCTAATGGCTTAATGGTTAAGCACTAGACTGCTAACCAAAAGGCCAGTGGTTCAGATGCACTTCCGTAAAGATGACAGCCTTGGAAACACTAGGGGGCAGTTCTACTCTGTCCCATAGGCTCTGAGTTGATAGCACGAGACGGTAGGAGGTGGCATAAGGGAAGTCTTTGCTTAGGGGACATTGAGTTTCTGTGAATGGTAATGGAATAATTTGGGAACAGATAGCTGTGATAATTACATAGCATGATGCTGTTTGTTGTTGTTAAGTACCGTGGAATCGGTTCCGACTCCTAGTGATCCTGCACAGGGTTTGCAAGGCTGCAGATCTTTAGGGGAGCAGAAAGCCTCATCTTTCTCCCACAGAGCAGTTTGTAGTTTCGAACTGCTGACCTTGTGGTTCACAGACCGATTTGTAACCACTACACTACCAGAGCTCCTCACATAGCATGATAAACATTATCAATACCATAGAGCTATGAATGTAAAAAATGTTGAACTGGCAAGTGTTTTATTATTTATATTTCTACCAAAATAAAGCAAAAAAAAAAAAAAATGTGTTTTCATGAACTCTTCAGTAAAGAAAGTAAGAAAGACAAATTGTGCTCTGAATTGAAGTGTTTGACCTCTATTTGACCACCTATCACTTTCTATTGCTTGCTTTTGGTCAGAACTAGTATTGTACCTCCATAACAGTATGGGGAATATAGTATTTTGTCTAACCCAGGGGTGAACCTGGAACTCTTTGTTAACCCTTTTAATGTCAATCACCTGTGACTACAGGGCAACCTAAACATCAGTGGTCAAAAGCAAGCAGTAAGGGAGCAAAAGATATTATATTATTGCTAGTTTCCTGATCTAAGGCATCTTCCTTTACTACCAAGTGCCTACACAATATCACTTATTGTTTTCCCTCACGACAGGACACAATCAAATGAGGCAATGAAAAAACATGATATTGCAACCAGTTCACAATACCTGGATTCTATGTTGTAAGAGGTGGAAGTGTCAGGAACTGATGCTGGAAAGGTTAGAGAGGGCCAGGTTAGGACAAAGGTGAAGGGAAAAGATGATCAGTCTTTGAAGAGTGGAGTAAGCATGCCACATTTTAGAAAGAAAACTCTGGCTTTGGTGAGATGAACTTAAGTCCAGGAGATCAAAAGACACCTGTTGCAACCATCCAGAGAATAAAATGGGCCTGAAGAGAAGTTGAGAGATTGGTATTGTTTGTTGTTGTTAGGTGCCTTCAAGTCAGTTCCAACACAGTGAAACTTTGTGCAACAGAATAAAACCCAGCTAAGACCTACCCATCTGCGCTACCATTGTTATGTTTGAGTTCACTGCTGCAGTCACTGCCAAGGGCATCTGAAGGAGGCTCTTCCTCTTTTCGCTGTCCCTCTACTTTACCAAGCATGATAGCCTTCTCCTGTGACTGGCCCCTCTAGATCACATGTACAAAGAGTGTGAAGCTGTCTTGCCATTCTTGCTTCTAAGGAGCATTCTAGCTGTACTTTTTCCAAGACAGATTTGTTCCTGACACTCCATAGCATATTCATTGTTTCTCACCAACATCATAATTCAAAGACATCATTGACTGAATTTTCCTTATTCATTGTCCAGCTTTTGCATGTATATGAGGTAATTGAAAATTGGCTTGGGTTAGGTACCCTTTAATCTTCAAAGTGAAGTTTTTGCTTTTAGTACTTTAAAGAGAGACTGATAGTGGTTTTAATGGCCCATCATGGTGTAAATGGTTTGCATTCACTTACTAACCTAAAGGTTGGCTATTTGAACCCATCCAGTGGTGCTGTGGAAAAAATGCCAGGCAATCTATTTCCATAAAGATGGCGGCCAGGAAATCCTGTGGATTTTTTTTACGCTGTAACACATGGTATTACCATGAGTCAAATCGGCTAATTTTTAGAAAAGAATGCCAGGCCTTTCTTCTTCCTTATCTGTCTTAGTCTAGAGCTCTGCTAAAATTTGTCCACCATGGGTGACCCTGCTGGCATTGTAAATACCCGTGATGTAGCTTCTAGCACCATAGGAACACGCAAGCTTTAACATTGGTAATGCAGATACATTTTCACCTTAGAAGGATTTCCATGTACCTGCTTGCATCAGGCTTTTGTTTTGTACTCAGAATTGGATGAACAGTACCCTTCCTTTCCTTATTTAAGATTTCTGTTTTATAACCTAATTGTCTTTTCTTATAATTTGTTAGAAATCATATGTGCTCAGCCAGAGGTTCCAAATGGAATAGTCAACACTGGATCTAGATCCATCTATAATTACAAAGACACTGTTATGCTTAGCTGCAACTATGGGTATATCCTCAGAGGCAGCAGATTGGTTCATTGTGAAGAAGATAACAACTGGCACCCTTCTCTCCCCACTTGTGAGCTCAGTGAGTATAAACCATGAAGGGATTCCAATGCTCATCTAAAGGCACCAAGAAATGCTTGTGGGGGCACACTTACTTGCCTAGGCCCACTTTGAATCATGGGAGCAATTTAAAGTTAGATCAATGATTTCATCTGTTTTCTTTTGGTGGGAAGAAAGACTTTAGTACACTGTGCCAGGTCATACAAAATCGCAAAGGCTGACACATACAATTGAACAAGTTGTGTACACCCAAATCTGAGGGGCAGCCTGCACATTATAGAAACTGTGGATCACTGTACTCATTACAACAATTTCCTGGCAGATGGTAGAAGATTCTGTTGTTCTAACACATTATCATATTATGGTAATTGTTTTGAAATATAAAAGCAAAGTGTCCCCAGGAAGATTTTTTTTTTCTTAACTTGCACAGAAACACTGTATGAACTAATTATGATCCTTTGACTCAGAGATTATAAAGTCATGTGTATCACTGAAAATTGTGATTTTAGTGATAATGACAGCCTGGCACTAGTCAAGTACATTCATTACACGAATTACTGAATTCTCCCACCATTGTGAGTACTATTATTATCCTCATTTACAAATGAAGAAACTATTCACTGAGGTTAAGTTACTTGCCCCTGGTTATATACCTAAGAGGTGGAAGATGTTGCTGCCTAATGCTTTAATCTTTGCCTTCAGGGAAGTTCAAGACCCTTATACAGGGGGCTTCTGGAATAGTGGTATGAGGAATTTGGGAAAATGCTATCCAGGAGACACATATAGGAAGACAGTCAAAATTACCAAAGAAAGCCATTCAAAGTTTCTGGAAATTCATCAAAGGGCTTACAATAAATTGAGAAGCATCTGTTAGGGAGAAAAGCAGAAATGTTGTAAGAACTATATAAATTTTCTAAGAACAGTGGGAGGCCAAGGAATTAGAATTAGGGACTTGGCTCAGCTCTGTGAGATGTGAGGGTTATTCTGGTGGGTTTGGCACACAGCAAGTATCATGAGCTTGTATTTTTCCCAGCTCCATGCTGCAGAAAGCCTAAAGTAAATGGGTGATAGTAGGTGGCCATCAGTGTTTAGTCCTCACCCAATTCCTGCTCTCACCCAGTTCCTAGAGAGGTGAAGTTGTGGGGCAGCTAGAGCAGAATGCAGTCCCCCTTTCCTGCTCAGCTCTGTGTTGCAGAAGAACTGCTTCAGTAGGTATGGGCAGTCAAGAAGCAGCTCCCAGCTTCCCCAGATTCCTAGAATGGAAGAGCTAGGATGGGTAGATTTGATAGCCAGTGTAATTGGAAAATCTCATTCTTCTGTGGCTCTGGGCTGTGAAATAACTATACGGGATGGTGGCAGCAGCCAGATGGCAGTATCAATTCCTATCACCTCTCATACCTTCATACCCTTCACACACATATACCCCCATCCTGCACATAACCTGACCCATACCATAGAGGCTTTGCCCAGGGGAGACACCTAGCAGCCCTTGAAGATTGACAACTCCCTGACTGTACTAAGGAGTCCAACTTTAATTGGATCAGACTCTGGAACAATTTATGCCCCAGGAAGTTGTCAAAAACAATAGAATAATTGGTCCAATTAGTGGAGGCTGACAGCTGTGCTGAGAACAAGATCCAAGACCCAGGGTCAAAAAATGCTTGACACTTGATTTGTTCTTGCCAAGCCCTTAAATGATAAGGTTCCTGTGTCAGTAGAGTGAGAGGAATGACTTCTTATCTATCTTCCCCAATCCAGTAGGAAACAATCAAAAGACATGTCTATCTGCAACAGTTCTCCTGCTATAGTCAACTATCAATCTTCATACTTCAGTTTGGACAACAAACTAGGAAGCACAGGGAAGACAAAGGAGAATTGATATTCTGTAGGGTCAGCTCAACACACAGAGACTCAGTGAGCTTTTCTCTGGTGATGTGTCCATTTGGGTGCATGTCCATGTATGTTTTTGCTGTGGCTCACTCATCTGTCGCTGCAACCCATTCCCTTTGACAGTTGCCCTAGTAATGGAACACTTTTCTTCTGTTCTTTTTTTTTTGTGAGCAGATAGCTGCACCAATGTACCAGAAATCCCACATGCTAACTGGGAAGTATATTACTCCTACAAGCCAAGAAAAGATAGTGTGTATAATATTGGGACCGTGTTGAGGTACAGCTGCAATTCTGGCTATAGACCTGTTGAAGATGAACCTACAACTATAACTTGTCAGGAAGACTTGACGTGGACCCCATACAGAGGGTGTGAGAGTAAGTTTTTGTTTTGTAAATATCTTTTTTGCATTATTAAATGTCCAGTATGTGCTTATTGTTGTTGTTAGGTGCCATCGAGTCGGCACCGACTCATAGCAACCTTATATGCAGCAAAATGAAACACTGCCCGATCCTGGGCCAACCTCACTATTGTTGCCATGCTTGAGTCCATTGATGCTGTCACTTGGCCAATCCATCTCGTTTGGGATCTTCCTTTTTTTCTCTGACCCTCCACCTTACCAAACATGATATCCTTCTCCAGCGACGGGTCCCTCCTGACAATATGTCCGAAGTATGAGAAATGAAGTTTGACCATCTTGGCCTCCAAGGAGCACTCTGGCTGCACTTCATCCAAAATTAGGACTCTTTAATTGAATATGAGTTTAGCCCTTAAGATAAATTTATATTAATTCAATAGAATGGCCCCAACTTATGGTGACCCCACAGGGAAAAAAAATAAAACTGGATTGAGTAACATTCCGTTGTGATCCACAAGGTTTTCAGGCCTGATTTTCCATTGACAGGCCTTTCTTCATAGTCTATCTTAGTCTGGAAGCTCTGTTAAAACCTGTTTAGCATCATAGCAACATGAAAGCTACCACTGGCAGTTAATATCACTATTATTCAAATTTACATACCAATCACTAAAGCCAAAAATGATGAAATGGAAGAATTCTACAAACTCCACTAGTCAGAAATTGATCAGATGTGCACTCAAGATGCATTGGTAATTACTAGTGATTAGAATGGGAAAGTTGGAAACAGTGAGGATTAGTAATGATCTTGGTGATAGAAATGATATTGGAGACCACATGATAGAATTTTGCAAGACCAATGACTTATTCATTGCAAATACATTTTTTATACAATTTAAAATGTAAGGTGACTATACCCATGGATCTCACCAGATGGACTATGTAGGGATCAAATTGACTACATCTGTGGGAAGAGATGATGGAGGAGCACAATACTATCCACCTAAGCAAGGCCAGAGGCTGACTATGGGACAGACCATCATTTGCTTACAGGCTGAAGTTGAAGACAACTAAAACAAATCTATAGGAGCTAAAATATGACCTTGAAAATATCCCACATAAATTTAGAGATTATCTCAAGAACAGATTTTATGTATTAAACACTAAAGATCAAAGACCAGGAGTGCTGTGGGATGGCATCAAGAACATCTATACAGATGAAAACAAAGGTTCATTACAAAAACAGGAAAGAAACAAAGGACAAAAATGGATGTAAGCATAATGGAATATTATACTACCTTGAAGAATAACAAGGAAGCTGCAAGCCACAGTGTAGCATAGATGACCCTTACGGACATTATGCTGAGTGCAATTAGTCAGTCACAAAAGGACAAATATTGTATAAGACCATTATTGCAAAAACTTAGGAAAAGATACCCATACTAAAAGGGAAAAAAAAAAAATCTTTGTTGGTTACCAGGAGTGAGAGGGAGGGGACAGTAGAGCACAGGATAGGAGATAGACACATAGTTTGGGTGTTGGAGAGGGCAGTACACAAGAAGGGGGAAAGGGATGAAAGAAGAAGGTAGATATGGAAACAGGCAGGTTTGCATGGGCCAAATGGAACAGAGTAAATAATGATGTATGTTCAACCTTGAAACAACAGAGCTTTGTGATACAGGGATTGAGGTATAGTCTGAATGGGTAAAAGAGGGGAAATAATGTTAAGATGCTTGACTGTCTTATGAATATTGATTTCCCTTGCCTACTATTGTAAATTAGACACTTGAGTGGGATAGAAAGGAATATCAGAAAATATGATTACAGAAAGCTTGTGAACCCATCTTCAGCCTATAATTCATTGGAATACCTAAAAGGGGTTCGAGAACTTGCCCAGTGAAATAGGTTTCTTACGAACCTTTGTAGTGCATAGGACCTTAGGTGGAATCCTGAGCCCCATCCAGAACCTTCTGAGGTGGGACATTCCCACTTGAAAGCACCTGCAGACCAGCCTGGAGCAGCTAAAGGAACAGAAGTATCTTCTTGAAAGAAAGACCAACAAGAAAAATCAAAAGCAAAAATGGCAGTTTGATTGGCTACTACAAGAACAAGCAAGTTGTTCTCCAGGAAGTCATCAAGTTCCTCCAAGACAAACTCCCTTCCAAGACTGAAACTCAAAGGGAACACAAGAACAGGCATCTAAATTCACTGACGACTACATTGGTCTCCTTGTGAATGGAAGACAGAGAAAGGCAACAAGAAAGATATGGGCTGAGTTCGATCACATGCCATAGACCCCTGTTGAATTGGAGATGAAAGAGAGAAGAGGAAAGGCTGGTTGCTCCAAAGTATGGTGAGACCTGGGGACTCCTGAGCCCATGGACAAGGACATAGCCACAGAGGGCTAGAGCTGAGAGTCAAGCATCTAGTTGATATGAAGTGAGGGGAGACTAACAAGAGTCTCAAAAACAAACTTGCAGATAGTACCTATTTGACCTAGCTTCTATGGCTTGATGATCAGGACTCTACTAGAGGAAGATAAAAAAAAAAAAATTTTTTTTTTGATAAAGGAAACAAATGTAGATTGCAACAATTTGATCAACTTGATCTATACTTATGGATGTAGTAGCTCAAAATACAAACTGAGAGGGAAGGAGCCTTCACATCAAGAATCCTGTGTGTACACAGGTTTGATAGGGATGGACAACTTAGACATTGGCTACCTAAAATGGAATCCTGGTATGGCGCTGTGAGCTAATGAGTCAGACTGCAAAATCATTTGAACTGCAAGGTCAGTGGTTCAAGCTCACCAGCTTCTCCTTGGAAACCCTATACAGGATAACAATGGGTTGGAATTGACTTCACAGTACTTAACAACAACATAAAGGCACAAAGTGATTGGCTTACAAGTTTTCAAGAGAGAGTTTAGTGTCAGAGTATGTGGGGAAAGGTAGAATCCCCACTGAATAGTTTTCATCTTGTCTAGATGGGCCTGGTGAAAAGAGATGGGGATAAGACTCTTATGATTCAATAGTGAGTAATTGTTATCATGACTAATTGTGATTGTCACACCTGTGAAGGTAGAAGTTTTGTAACATGAAGGGGGAAGTAGTTAATCTTACAGACTCTAGGACCATCAAGGGAGAAGAGCAAGAGCAGAACGTGGGACCCTATCCAGAGAAGCAGTGACATCAGAAATGGAGGCAAAGATAATGACATGGAAAGAGGGAGCAGCTGAAGACTCTAGACTCATGGAAAGAGAAAGGCTGTGTGTTGGTGGTCAGTAGGCAGGCTTGCAGAATGTGCACTTGGGTTGTTTAAATGATTATATATTTCTGAGTGTTTTTGTATACATCAAACAAACAAAAATAGAGTGAATAGAAGCAAATACTCTTAAATGATAATGTATGGAGGGGATTGTAATTATTGCAATGAAACAAAATATAATAGGATGATGTAAACTATCACTCAATTCCTAATAAACACTTTTTAAAAAATGGTTGTAAGAAGAGACTCTGAAACTTGCTCTTGATCATAGAGATGCTAAAGCAACTGAAAGAAATGTGGAAGTCAGAGCTGATCAGAAAATTTCAAAGGGCAGATCTAGAATACAAAATAAAGTATTATAATGCAATGTGCCAAGACCTGGGGATAGAAAATCAAAAGAAAAGAACACGCTCAGCATTTCTCAGGCTGAAAGAACTGAAGAAAAACATTCAAGCCTCAGGATGGAATATTGAAGGACTCCATGGGAAAAATATTGAATGACACAGAAAGCATGAAAAGAAGATGGAAGAAATATAGAATCTCTATCCTGAAAGCAAATGGTCAGTGTTCAGTTATTTCAAGAAGTTGCATATAATCAAGAACTGACAGTACTGAGGGAAGAAGTCCAAGCTGCACTGAAGGCATTGGTGAAAAACAAGGTTCCAAAAATTGAGGAAATACAAATTGAAGTCTTTCAAAAAACTGATGCTGCACTGGAGGTACTCACTCATCTATACCAAAATTTGGAAGACAGCTACCTGGCCAATGGATTGGAAGAGATCTATATTTGGCCCATTCTAAGGAGTCCTGGTGTGGCTCTGTGACTGCAAAGCTCTTTGAACTACAAGGTTGGTGGTTCAAGCTCACCAGTCACTCTTAGGAAATCCTATACAGGGTCGCTATGGGTCGGAACCCAGTCAATGACATTTAATAACAACAACAAAGAAAGGTGACCCAACATAAAGAGGAAATCATCAAACAGTATCATTAATATCACAAAAGTAAAATTTTGTTGAAGTTAATTTAAAAATGACTGCAACAGTACATCAATAGGGAACTGCCAGATTCTCAAGCTGGATTCTGAAGAGAACATGAAACTTGGGCTATCATTGTTAGCATTAGACAGATCTTGACTGAATACAGAGAGTACCAGAGAGATGTTTACTTGGGCTTTATGTAATAGGCAAAGGCTTTTTCACTGTGTGAATCATGACAAACTATGGATAATATTGTAAAGAACGGGCATTTCAGAACACTTAATTATGCTCATGATGAACCTGTACATAGACCAAGAGACGGTCATTAAAACAGAACAAGGGGATACTGAATGGTTGAAAATAAAGAAAGGTGTGTGCCACGGCTGCATCATTTCACCGTACTTATTCAATCTGTATACTGAGCAAATAATCCAAGAAGCTAGATTATATGAAGAAGAACGAAGCACCAGGATTGAAAGGAGACTCATTAGCAACCTGTGATATGCAACCTTGTTTGTTTAAAAGGAAGAGGACTTAAAATACTGATGAAGATCCAAGACCACAGCCTTCAATATTTATTGCACCTTAATTTGAACCTCAAGGCCAGTGTCTCAAGCTCACCATCTGCTTCTCAGAAACCTGAACAGTGTTGCTATGGATCGGAACCAATTTGACGGCACTTAAAAACAATGATATAAAGAAAACAAAAAGCCTCACGACTCGACCCATAAATACCATCATGATAAATGGAGAAAAGATTGAAGTTGTTAAAGACTTCATTTTGCTAGGATCCACAATCAGCACTCAAAAAACAAGCAGTCAAGAAATCAAACGTTAGGCATATCTACTGCAGAAGACTTTTAAAGTGTTCAAAAGCAAAGATGTCAGTTTGAGGACTAAGGTTACCTGACCCAAGCCATTGCATTTTCTATCACCTCATAAACATGTGAAAGATGGAAAATAAATAGACTGTAGGAGAGTCAATACATGTTAATTATGGTGTTGGTGATGAATACTAAAGGTACCAGGGACTGCCAGAACAAGCAAATCTGAGTTGGAAGAAGTACAGCCAGAATGTTCCGTCAAAACCAGAATAGTGAGACTTAGTCTCTCATACTTCAGACATGTTATGTGAAGGGACAAGTCCCTGGGAAAAGACAGCATGCTTGGTAAAGTGGAGGGTCATTGACAAAGAGGAAGAACCCCAGTGAGATGGATTGGCACAGGGCAGCAGCAATGTGCTCAAGCGTGAAAACCATTATGATAATGGCGCAGGACTAGGCAATGTTTTGTTCTGTTGTTGATAGGGTTGCTATGAGTCAGAACTGAATCAATGGCACCTTACAACAACAACAGTAGCAAAAGGACTGAATTAAAAACATACTTAACAAAAATTATCACCTCTTAAAAACAAAGTATTGGTAAGCACATGCCTTTTAAAATCTTTTATAAATATCAAACAATGACATGTAATTAACATACCGATTGTGTCTATAGTGATGGTGTGTTGGTGGAGTTGGTTCTGACTCATGGTGAACAGGCATAGGGCTTCTGAGACTTACGTCTTTACAGGAGCAGAAAGCCTCATCTTTCTCCCACGGAACAGCTGGTACTTTCAAACTGCTGACCTTGAGATTAGCAGCCTGACTTGTAACTGCTCTGCTGCTAGATGTTTAAAAACCTTTTTAAAATACACATTCTTTTTATCTACTATGGATTTATAGATTTAATTTTTTAATAGCAGATCTTTCTAATCACTTAGAAAATAGTTTTCTAGCCACTTAAAACACAAAAGATAAATGATGTGAATTTAAATTCCCCGCTTACCTATTCCGAAATGATTTGTATACTATACCCACCTACCACCTACTGTTTCGTTGTTGTTAAGTGCTGTTGAGTTGGTTCCAATTCACAGGGACCTTGTATAGGGTTTCGGAGGAGCAATTGGTGAGTTTGAACTGACGACCTTGTGCTTCAAACCAACCTCACAGTTCAAACCAACCTTACGGGCCAGTGCTTATCCTATAATGCCACACCAGATCTCTACCACCTACTATAGCTCAGTCAATTCTAACTCACATCAACCCTACAGAGCAGAGTAGAACTGCTCCACAGGGTTACGAAGCTATAAATCTTTATAAAAGCAGATTGTTTTATCTTTCTCCCTCAGAGAAACACTGACTTTTGGGTTGGTTATTGAAGGCTTAACCCATTGCATTACCAGGACTCCTTCATATACTATTCAGCACTTATATAATTTAAAAAATTATCCCCCAAAAATTTTGTTGTAGAAGTGTTTGTGTCAGAAAGATTGTCTGATAATTCTGGTATAGTTTCTGATTTGGAGATTAGAGCATTTTCTGTTCTAATTTTTTCCCCCTTACATCTGGCAGTTTCTTATCTGAAAGTGTTTCTATTAATTGATATTATATCCTTTATAAGCTCTTTCTTCATTAGAAATAGAAGAATTTGAATAACTAGCTCTGTTAAATTTTGCATCAGTAAAGAAAGATCCTGGCCATAAACAATAATCTAAATGCATTCCTATGTATTAGTTATCAGGTTGATTTCAAGCTTGCAAGCAGAGCAGTGTAAGTTACTAGAGAATTTAATTAATCATGATGTAATCCTAGCAAAATCATAAAGACAAGAATTAAGACATTTTGTTGTTGTTGCTCTTAAATAATTTTGAGAAAATAATTTTTGTTTTTGTAGGGGTTTAACCCAGCTTTTCATTTTGCAAGCTCCTACTTAAAAGACTTCATTGGAGAGGTGTGGGGTTGCCATGGATCAGGACAGGCTGATAACATGAGGCTTCTGGGGAAAAGTAACTGGGTTGGAGATGGACAGACTCAAAATGTCTTGGTTACACTTTTATTAATTTCTCCAAACCCACTTCAGTGGTGAGATTATTTCTCATTTAAATGGAAATGAGGTTGTTATGATGATTGCATTAACCATTACCCTATTTTATTTTCAGGGGTATGTTGCCCAAAACCAGAGTTGAAGAATGGCAAAATAGTTAATCAGAGAAAAACTGAATTATCCCCATCCTGTCACTATTTCTTTGGAGACCAGTTTTCCTACACATGCCATAAGAAATCTAAAATATTTAAAGCTACTTGCCAGGGTGATGGCACATGGAATCCCAAAACACCAACATGTGATGACGGTAAGAGTTTATGAGATTATTTTATTTTGGAAATTTCTTCAGATCTCAGTGATGGAGATTATTAAGTGAAGGCTTACAGTTAGATAAAATATACATGAGGGAAGTAAAAAAGTATTGCTAGTTGG